AGTAATCCAAATTATGTAAATAATGTACATAATACCTCATCTCAGAAATATAGACAGATACTGAAAGGCCGAAACGTTGTGATAAATATGGCGACAAAAATGAGGACAAAAGACTTGAATAATGCATAAGGTATCATCTCAGAAATATAGACAAATACTGAAAGGCCGAAACGTTGCTTAAATATGGCGACAAAGATGAGGACACTAGTCCGAATGATGTAAATAATGTACATAATATTTTATCTCAGAAATATAGACAGATACTAAAAGGCCGAAACGTTCTTGATAAATATGGTGACAAAGATGTGGACAGTAATCCAAATAATGTAAATAATGTACATAATACCTCATCTCAGAAATATAGACAGATACTGAAAGGATTCGTATAAAAATATGTAAACACATTATGTCTATATTATTTCATGAAACCTTCTTGTGTGAATATACCTGATTTTTGTTAAACAGGACTCAGCACCAATTGTAATAAGGCAGAAAACAGGGTCGTCAGCAAAAAAGGCACAGCCCAACAAGCAAATTACAAATTAGAGATGCCCAAAGCCCTGAAAATTTAAAAAATTTAAATATCTCGGAAACATCTTAACAGAGTGCATAAAAAGGATATCAACAAAAAATAATGACGTAATAATGTCGTTTTCTGACGTATTTTTAACGACATTATTACGTCATTATTTTTGCACCAACCTAATAAAATGCGACATCGAAATCCGAAAGCTAAATAAAGTATTAAGAAAACATTTCGTTAGAAACGAAGAAGAAAGTCCTCCTGTATGGCAGTAAATGCGAGACAATCTCATCACTAATGAAGGAGAGAATTGAGGTAACAGAAATATGGTTCTACAGAAGGATGCTGAGACTGACATGGGAGCAACGAGGAAATTTTAGTGAAAATCGAAATGAAAACGGGAATTATACTTAACACCAAAAGGGACGGTTGAAATTCTAAGGTGCATCCCGAGGAAAGAGGGCTTGAAAATACTGAGACTCACAAGACATATTGAAAACAAGAAAAACAGGGGAAAGCAGTGAATAACTGTGTAAATCGTTAGCAGAACAGGGATTAGGGACATTTGATAGACAGATTCATTGGACAAGAAAATGAAATAGCTCATGATCATACGTCCTTCATAAGAAAAGAAGAAAGAACGGATTTCCTGTAAACCGTTACCAGCACAGGGATTAGGAGGATAGACAAAAATACAAACTTTACTAAGAGCTACAAAGGACAGGAAATTGTGGAGAGCCATGATCATCCACGTCCTGAAGGGACACGGCACATAAGAAAAGAGAAGAACGGATTTGTGTAAACCATTAGCAGCACAGGGATTAGGAGGGATAGACAAAAATACAAACTTTACTAAGAGCTACAAAGGACAGGAAATTGTGGAGAGCCATGATCATCCACGTGCTGAAGGGACACGGCACATAAGAAAAGAGAAGAACGGACTTGTGTAAACCGTTGACAGCACAGGGATTAGGAGGGATAGCAAGAATACAAACTTTACTAAGCGCTACAAAGGGCAGGAAATTGTGGAGAGTTTTGATTACTATCTCGGTTGGTGAATGCTTCAAAATACCAAGTGCCATAACCTTAGATGTGCGCGGGGTGCAATGGATAACGGCCTGGGATTGTTAATCTGAGAGACGAGTTCCAATTCTCTTTGGATTTGTTATATTTACTTACGCACAAATATCCTTGGGAAAGGCATGGATCTCTCTCTCACCGCAGTTACAAGTTAATTGGTATTACTTGTATTAATAAAAGCATCATTATCTCCCTACCCAACAAAAAAGAATTGCATACAAAAGATTTAGATTTCGGCGTTAAATAACCCACAGAGGTGTTGATATGCTGCTAAGCAAAAAAAAAAAAAAAAACAGACCAACTCACTTTGATTTGATACTATCTGTAGTGGTTCCTGCATTTACCTTTCTGTTTCTACTGTCAACGCCGTGTCATATACAATCCTGAGGATTTTTAAAATAGATTAAATGATGTATGTAATACTACTACTACTAATGATGATAAGAATAATGAAGCGAACTTTATGGGGTCAATAAAATGAAGGTTATCAACGCCTTAACTACACTTGGAGTAACATACAGCTTCAACATCATTAAATGGAAGTTGAATGAAATTAAAAGATTGGACGCCAAGACCAGAAAAATGCTTACCCAAATGAAGATGCTCCACCCGAAATCAGATGTTGTTAGGTTGTACGTACCAAGAGCTTTAAGAGGCTAAGTTTTAATCCGACTTGAACTAACTCTAAAAACTACAATCGGATTGAAAGCGTTCCCCACAAAAAAAAATGAGCCTCTCCTGCAAATAATAAAACACCAAATCCACTCCATCAACAAAGAAGCTGCACTCCGCAAGAAACAGATTAATATATCTGAAATCTTATCAACAAAAAATGAAGCGAATACTATGTACAACAAACGAGTCAAACAGAAAACAAAAAAGAAAAAAAAAAGCAGACAAGGCGTTGCATGGTAAATACCTAAAAAGAACGGAAGAAGCAGATGTGGACGAACGGAAAACACATCAGCGAATGAAGAGCATCACGTTGAAAGCTGAGAGAGAAGGCTTATTGCAGCCAGATCCTATCATTATTATACAATCAAAGATGGAACTAACCCGAAATGCAGGATCTGCAGAAAATATGATGAAATATAAAATATTATCTCCGGATGTCCGGAACTACAAAAAAAAAAAAAAAAAAAAAGTGTATACGCAGAGGTATAACAAGGTAGACACATAGGTGCACTGGAAATTATGCAAAAGCACAAAATCGAAACCACTGAGAGATGGTATTAGCTCCAACCAGACACAGTTACCCAAAATAACGATATAACTATCCTCTGGGACATGCCAATTCAAACTGACAGGGAAATAAAAGCCAACAAGCCTGATATTATCATAAAAGACAATAAATTCAGGAAGAGCATGATTATTGACATAGCAGTACCATCTGAGAGAAACAACTCCATTAAAATTACTGAGAAATTGTCGAAATACAAGGACCTGCAGATCGAGATGTGCGGAATGAAGACTGAGTCTGTACCAATAGTAATTGGAGTTCTGGGCTTCGTGAGAAAAGGAATGGACAATTTTACTAAGAGGGTCCAAAGAAACATCAATATACAATTTATCCAGAAGCTCGCTCTATTAGGAACATCCCATATACTAAGAAAATTGCTAATCAATTAAAGGTCAATTCTCCTATAAGGGCCTAAAGACCATAGTTTGAACCTGACTCTCAAAGCAGGAAATATAACATACACAAATAATAATAATAATAATAATAATAATAAGAAGAAGAAGAAGAAGAAGAAGAAATTCCGTGGATCAAGTCCCAACAGGAAGAGGGATCATCATTTCAACTTAATACTTGCTCCAAGTAAAGTTCAATAGTGCTATAAAAACATTTAATCATTTCAACGGTTCAAAGCTTAATCTAACAATCGGACAATTTTGCTGTTACACGATTTGAACAATTTTGCTGTTACATGATTTGCACAATTTTGCTGTTACAGGATTTGCACAATTTTGCTGTCACACTCAGTAAAATCCCAGCTATCATTGAGGTTTGGGGTCTATACCAGCGAGTATTAAAGTCGCACATTGAAAAGAACAGGATAAATTCTAGTATCCCATCGCTTCCGAAGTCTAAATTGCTTGCCACTGCAAGTATGAGGCGAAAGGATTTCTCTTTGAGATCGTACGACTTGATGGAGAATTCCTATGATTTAAGATCTCTTGGAAAAACGAAACTTTCAGGGCTTTCCTATTTGAAACTTATGATGGATCTTAATTCTGAAGAAGCTCATGGCGAGTTCTCCGACAATAAAAATATCCGTAGAAAATTCTATTATTACATCGTTAAATATTTGAACTGAAGAACTTTAACAAAATATCGCAATAACAAATCATAAATAGAAATGCTGGTCGTTACTTTAAGAAGTAAGGGGATACAAATAAAAGGATTAAAAATTTTAAAGATTTTAAATTGACAACTTTTTCCATTTCACTGAAACAGATGTTAAAACTATCTATTCTTCTTCCATCCATTTTCTCACTGAAACTAGGTAGAGTTTTGATATTTCTTTTGTCTACTCACGTGATCACAACGGAATAATCCATTATTTATGAGGAACTAACATATGTCGAAGACTTATATCATTCTTTCATTCTTTATGTTTTCACTGAAACCAAGTAGCGTATCTGATATATATCTTGTCTCTTTACGCGATCAAAACAGAGTAGTTCCTTGTTATTAGGTATTAGCAGATGTTAAACACTTCTATATTCCATATTTCTTTTTTTTCATTTCCTCGATTCGTCCTGGGTAAGACGATAAACTATATGCAACTGCAAGGGCTCTGATCAGGTGGTTTACAGGAGCATGAAAGCACATCTTAATTGCTGGCGCTCCCCGGTTCCACCAGAGCCGGGGTAGTAGCACCTGTTAGGGTCCCAGCTATGGGCAAATATTTAACCCCCAAACTGGAGTCAGAACACTATGAAAGTTTAAAAATAGGTTTTAATACCAACAGGAATTTTTTTGAGGAAAAATTATTACCAACAATAAAAAAAAAAAAAAAAAATTTGTCGGCATTAGATAACCTGTTGTGGTTGATATGCTGTAAAATAAACCAGTCCAAAACAATTTCGTCAATGAAACCAAGTAGCGTCTTTGATAAGTCTTTTGTTTTCTCACGTGATCAAAACGGAATAGTCCATTTTTTCTGAGGTATTAACAAGAGGCATTAAACTTTTCAATCTATCTATCTATCTATCTATCTATCTTGAAATCAAGTAACGTTTTTGATATGTTTTTGTCTACTCACACGATCAAAACGGAACAGTCCATTATTAATAAGATATTAACAGGAGACATTAAACTCTTCTATTTATCTATTTTGAAACCAAGTAGCGTCTTTGATATTGTCTTTTTTTATATGCCCACGCGATCAAAATGGAACAGTCTATTATTTATGAGGTATTAGCAAGAGGCATTAATCTTATCTATCTATCTATCTATCTATCTATCTATCTATCTATCTATCTATCTATCACTGTTCATATTCATCTATGCATGTATCCCTGTTCAAATTTATCTATTTCAGTTTCTTCATTATTTATCTATGCATATTCATATCTATCTATCTATCTATCTATCTATCTATCTATCTATCTATCTGTCACTGTTCATATTCATCTATGTATCTATCCCTGTTCATATTTATTTATTTCAGTTTGTTCATTATCTATCTATCTATCTATCTATCTATCTATCTCAGTCTGTTCTTATCTATCTCAGTATGTTTATCTATCTATCTATCTATCTATCTATCTATCTATCTATCTATCTATCGAAATGTCTTTTCCTATCGACGCGATCAAACGAGGAATAGATGAGGTATAGACAGGTCGTAACGTTCGTGCGAACTAATGAAGGAAGTGGCAAGCAGAATTATTATATGACAATAGGAAAGAATCGTGACCGGGTTTGAGAATGCTGATTTGTCTTTTAGCGAAGTTCAAAGGATAAGACAGCCAAGGTGACTTGTCTGGCGCACTAAGTTGTACCACATTGTAATATTCAGATGTTTAGTCTCAAAGAGAAGACAGAATGTATGGTCATCAATAGAAGGATAAGCCCGAAATGCAATTTGCAGGTCAGGGACACTAAAATCAAGCAGGTACGGAAATTTAAATATCTGGGAAGTATTCTGACAGAGGACGGTAAATGTGACGCTGAGATCCGAAGACGTATTGGGATGACCAAAAACGCATTCCAAAAGTTAAGCAGAGTATTACGAAACAGGAGGGTTTCATTAGTAACAAAGAAAAGATTACTGAGCTGCTACTTGACATCTGTTCTCCTTTACGGGAGCGAATGTTGGACGGTCTCCTTAAAGATGAAGAACAGACTCGAGTCTGCGGAGGTGCGGTTCTACAGAAGGATGCTATTGATATGGATCGAGCGTTTGAGCAACGATGAGATTTTGGAGAGGATGCAAACAACGAGGAAGCTTATACTAAACATCAGGAAGAGGCAGCTGAAATTTCCCGGACACGTAATGAGAAAGGACGGCCTGGAGAATCTGATACTCACAGAGAAAGCAACGCATGACATACCTGGCGAGCTTAACCAAGTGTGACGACAAGGGCCTGGAGAAAATAGCAAAGGATCAAAGCTTATTGAGAGCTACAAGGGACAGGAGGAAGTGGAGAGCCATGATCGCCTACGTCCTAAAGGGACGTGGCACGTAAAAAAAAGGAAAATAGATCTCAAAGACAGCGTCTTTATTTTGTTTTAAAATACTTGACATCGGGACGTTTCTAATATCATTATTTAGCAAATGCCTCCTGAATTATATAATGTCGTCCGCCATTTAATGAAAAAGACAAACAAACACGTGCATTGTTCAATGTTCTACCTTGTAATAAATAAGCAGATGCTCAGTACTTTGCAATCTCAAAGGTAATGCCTTTTATGTAAATATCCCAACATTTGACTCGATTAGAAGGCACTTGTTGAAAGAACGACAGAAGTGAGGCAATAAAATTCATCTTTTCGAAATGATAGACTTTTCACGAAGGTAACTTCTAAGCAGAGGATCTCAGCATGCGTAACCTTTGGAAAGTAGCCAAATCCAGACCATAGATGAGCTACAAACAACAGAGCGACTCTGCCAGTTTTCAAGGTTATCTAACTGGTAGACTGGTAGAGTAATAAATAGCGGCTCGGATTGAGGAATCCTGAGAGCCGAGTTCGAATTCCAGTTGAATCAATTACATTCACTTACGTGCTAATACTCTTGGAGAAGGTATGAATCCTCGTCTTCTCTTCACGACAAACTGGGTTCTATAATCTTGGATGGCAACTGGTCTACTGCAGAAAGAAATGGCAACCTACTGCGGGGAAAAAACTCTGCCTGCTCAGTCATGTATCGAAAGATACATGATCGCCTAAGCGTGGATCACGAATGCCACATAACTGACAGACATAATCTGATGGATCTCTTACCATCTGTGTCTGGGCGTCTCCAGGCGGAATGGTTAGGAAGCTTGTCTCGCTGAAACAATTACGACTGAGTAGTGAGTTCGATCCTCATTGGGTGCCTTCAACTTTCGGCCTTATGCTATGTCTAAGCTACGCATGGGAAATCGCTACTCTCTTTTCCTATATGTATAGAGGGGGGTGTAAATATTCGGACACCATAAAAATTTTAATTAACATACAATATTTCTAGACCATTGCAAAATGCAAAAAATAACTAGAAAACTTTGTTAAAAATGAAATTATGTGTTATATATAAAATTTCGTGTCGAAAAAAGTATTCGTAAAAAATATGTCTTTAATATCAAAAGGCTTAAATTACCTGTATTTACATAATTCTTTGAAAGGTTTTGCTAGATTCTTTTAATTATCTTATTACCAGAATAATCTAGAATATTCTGTAATTTATTTCTTATATAAGGTTATCTCTGCTCACAAATCATAAACACTAATTATCATCATAGGGAAAGGTAAGGAAACTATCAAATTCGCAAAAGGAATTGATCCTGAAACATTGAAAGGAAGTCAAAAGCTATAGGAAAATACCAGAAATTCCTGGATATGCCTTTTACTAATATTAGTTCCTTTAGTTCCTTTCTATGTATAAAAAGGTAAAAGCTAGTTAAGAAAAAATCGAGATCTGGTGAACCAACCCAAGATCTCTCACAGATCAATTAGAAGAATTCAGCGTAAAATCCAAGATAATGCAATGAATACTTGGAGAGAAATACAGGAAGAATTAAAAGAATTACGAAGCGAACAATAAGCAATGAACTTCATAGAAGTCAACTCAGATCGCGTTCTTCAAGAAAAAAAATTCCACTCCTCTTGAATAAACATAGGGATGCCCTGTTAAAATTTGTTCGTGAGCATAAGAATAAATCTGAATCATTTTGGGAAAGTGTTTTATGGACAGATGAAGCAAAAATTGAGCTATTTGTTTGTAATTCAAAGACTCACGTTTTGAGAAAAGACGGCACAGGCTTTGCACCGAAAAACACAATCACAACGGTGAAATTTGGTGTTGACAATATCATGGTTTGGGGATATTTTTTTCTGCTAATGGTACGGGTAATTTAGAGATAATAGATGGTAGAATGAAATAAAAAATATACCAAAATGTTTTGGACTCTAATTTGCTTGGGTCAGTAGTATATCTTGGACTCCCAAATAAATGTGTTTTGCAACAAGATAATGGCCTAAAACATACGGCTAAATCTACGAAAAAAATGGCTGATTAAAAACAACGTCAATACACTTGAATGGCCATCCGTTTCCAGACTAGAATTTGTGGCGTTTATTAAAAATTCAGGAATATTATTAACTTAAAAGAGCTCCGAAAAACATCCTGGACAATATCCAATAAAAAATTTTTCTGATTTTTAAAAATTTTTTTGCATATTGCAGCATTATGCCATATTGTAGATTATAAAATACTTTTATAGAATCGAATTATGTTAAATAAAAATAATCATAGTGTACGAATATTTCTTCCCTTGTGTGAATATAATATATATATATATATATATATATATATATATATATATATATATATGATAAAAGGCTTAAGCACTAATATATATATATAAATATATATTTGGTATATCGGGTCCGTACCGATCCTTCAGAGTCTGTCTATATTTCTGAGATGAGGTATTATGTACATTATTTACATTATTTGGACTATTGTCCTCATCTTTGTCGCCATATTTATCACAACGTTTCGGGTGTTGTACGCTCCGGCCTTCTTCAGGTGAAGAAGCCCGGAATAAACAACGGCCGAATTAAATAATATAAATATATATATATATATATATATATATATGTGTGTGTGTGTGTGTGTATGTGTGTGTGTGTGTGTGTGTGTGTGTGTGTGTGACACTGTAACGCGATGTATATGGGACGGAGCAATCAGAGGCGGATTATGTAACATGTACCTGCCTATTTGAGTTCGAGTATTGGGAGTCGTGTTAAAAGAAGCATCCAATCAGTGCACGACTCCTCCATTGGGCAGCATTTGCTGGATAATCCCGATTATGCCGCCGATTTTGATGATGCATTTTTGTTTTTTCATCATACCTATTACCCGCTCAGTTCCCCGTTTCCGAGTCCTTGGAGGCTGTTTACATTAAGTTTCATCAGCCGAGCTTATGTAAAGGTAAAAGGAATATTTTATTTATTCCTTACGTTTGATCGACGGATTATGAGTGACGTTTTTTCCATTTTATACTCTTTTTGGAACTTCGCAAAAATTGTAATCTTTTATTTATTTACAATTAAAATCTATTTTAATGGTGTTCCAATTTTTTCCTCGTAATTTGTTATTTATTTCCGCTTCTTCGATTGTTTCATGCTTCGACAACGATTATCTTTTGAAAAAAAGCGTTGGCCGAATGGGTCGTAAATGTAAAATAATGACGTCCATTTTATTGAAATCTATTTGCTTTTTCTGTGGGTACAAGGCAATTTCTCATATATATATATATATATATATATATATGAATAAATATAGTCTTAAGATGTTCTATATTTATGGGATAAAGTGCTCAATATCAGAGATAGAGCGTGTGTAAATATAGGAGTGAAACTACAACAATCCACCCTAAAATTGAATAAATAGCTTTAATTATCTTTCCAAACCAAAACAAAACTATTAAATAAGCGATATAAACAAATGTATACTACGTTAATAAAAACACCAATTAAAATAAAAAATAAATAGATGAAAAAATAAATATATAAGATAAGAAATGAAAAAAAAAAAAAAAATAAAAAAATAAAAAAAAATAAAAACAAACAAAATAATTTAACCCAAATAAATAAATAAACACATAAACGACTTCCGGTAAAAAAACCGCCAAAATCGACTACCCACAATGCACCACTGACTCGTATATATAAATAGCCGA